ACAATTATAATTCAATCAGAGGCAAAAGCATGGTCTTCATTTGTTCCTGAAAAAGCAGATCTTCACAAACCTATGAACAGGAAGATTTGGAAATAGTGGAGGACGCTGTTCCAAAAGGAAAGGGTGGCATCATCAAAACAAAAAACAGCCAAGATGCATTTAATTAATTAAACTTTCTGTAAGCAACTCACGAAGCTGAAAGAACGAGCTCTAAGAAGGAAATAAAGAACCGACTCCAAGATTTTTATCTTATGTTGATGAACCTGCATATTCATTACATAAATCTACCTGTGCATTAAATTTATCACTGTGATAAATATGAAATGCAATAGCAGAAGTGACTGCAGCTAGCTCAGTGCCTTTAATGGAAAACAGGAGTCCTAAGAGTTAGGAGGTGGTTTTGTTTTTTAGAATTAAGCCAGCACTTGATATAAAATTAAGTTTCTAAAAGTCCTGGCAAACCTATTCTAGACTTCTCCAATGGTGAAAAAAGAAGAAGATGGATGGGGAAAAGATGTGTTCATTAATGTAGATTATCATGTGAAAAACGATCTTATGAGCAGAGATAAGTAATGGGAATATCTTGAATTCTAGCAAAGGTACTACATGAACTGAAAGCAGATAGGACTGCATTACTATACAGTGTTAAAATCTTTTGTTACCGTGAATGCTGTCTCTTGGAAGAAACTTTGAAGCATAAACTTAATGGCTGGATTTTATTTTATAAGCAACTTTTGTCTAGCTGCTCCTTGAGAATGTTCATACACAGAGAAAGAGCGTTTAAAAACCTTTTTCTTTGGTGCTTTTGCTTTCTGAAACCGTTCATTACATGCAACTGCTGGGCTTTTGTATTTACCGTGTTACAGCATTCCTTTTTGATTACAATTGTTGGGCTGATTGCAACACAGTTTTCATTTGTTCTAAAATGTATTTGTCCCTTATGAAAACATCACACATTCTCATCTAATGGGGGAGGGGGGGAATTTGTAAAGGAAAAGAAAAATAAGAACAGAAGAATCAGTAGTCACACATACTGTAATGCCAAGGCTTAAAAACTAAGGTGGATAACCACTGAATACAAAATCCAATCCAATCAAAATTCCAGGCACCACATTTTTGGAAGGACATTAACAAACTGGATTGCACCCAGAGGAGATCAGTCAAGGTGACAAGGAGCCTGGAAGGAAAAAAAAAACTTGAGAAATGATGGGAGGCATTGGGTATGTTTAACCTGGAAAAGATATGAGAACCGTCTCCAAATATTCCAAGTGTTGTCAGGTGGAAAACAAAGCAGAACTTGTTGCAGAAGACAGAACAGAAAGCAATGAGTTTAAATCACGAGAGAGCCGATTTTAGCAAGATGTCTGGATATTTTCTAATGATGAGCATTGGGGACACTAGAGCAACGGATCCCTGCCCTGACAAATGGTTAGAGTGAGTTATTTTCAAGACGCCTATCAACTGTTATGTTCTATGATTCTATAACCAGTCAGTTCATGTTTTACCAAAGAGCCGTGCTTTCGTTACACGTTGGAACAGACCAGGCATGGCTAAACTGGCAAAGTTCATAAGAGCAATCACTATTCCTGCCATTAGCAACGTTCCACATTTTCGTGGGTGCAGAAGCAACATTATGCGTCTAATTCTGTACCGTCTTGTTTACAGTTTTGTTTAGTTGTGTTTTTTTTTTGTTGCTTCCTGTTACCATCTGCTAATGGGGCCAGCAAATTGTTCATTTGCTAAAAATGTTAAGTGGGACCAACAGATGCACTGCTTCCTGCAGCTGTCTCTTCAGCAAGGCTCTGCTAATTTTTGGTGAGAGTAATAGCATCTTTTCAGCTATTTTCATAACCACAATCATGGAAAAGGTTATGACAAGGTTTTGTAATTTGGGATCCAACATGGCTTCACAGCTACAAAAAGGCCTTGCTGAAGCTTGGGGGTGACCTATCTATCTATCTATCTATCTATCTATCTATCTATCTATCTATCTATCTATCTATCTATCTATCTATCTATCTATCTATCTATCTATCTATCTATCTATCTATCTATCTATCTATCTGTCTATATACATACAATTATCTATCTATCTATCTATCTGTCTATATACATACAATTATCTATCTATCTATCTATCTGTCTGTCTGTCTGTCTGTCTGTCTGTCTATCTATCTATCTATCTATCTATCTATCTATCTATCTATCTATCTATCTATCTATATCTATCTATCTACCTATCTATCTATCTGTCTATATACATACAATTATCTATCTATCTATCTATCTATCTATCTATCTATCTATCTATCTATCTATCTATCTGTCTATATACATACAATTATCTATCTATCTATCTATCTATCTGTCTATCTATCTATCTACATACAATTATCTATCTATCTATCTATCTATCTATCTATCTATCTATCTATCTGTCTATCTATCTACATACAATTATCTATCTATCTATCTATCTATCTATCTATCTATCTATCTATCTGTCTGTCTATCTATCTACATACAATTATCTATCTATCTATCTATCTATCTGTCTATATACATACAATTATCTATCTATCTATCTATCTATCTATCTATCTATCTATCTATCTATCTATCTATCTATCTGTCTGTCTGTCTGTCTGTCTGAAGTCTCTGTGCCTCTCGTTTAAAATGTGTGCATGACTTGTAAACCTCACTCTGAGAACTGGCTAGGGACAGGACTGGAGCAGACAGCTGCATAACTAATTTTAGCTTCATGTAAGAGAGCCAGGACAGATTTAAGTCCTGGTGGTGAAAGGGGGAAGGGAAGGAGGCACTGAATTCACAGGGAAAAAAAAATGCAGTTTCTACCTGTCTTTTGAGCAGGGATCCCCAACCTTGACAACTTTAAGCTAGGTGAACTTCAACAGCATGGCTGCGGGAGCTGAAGTCCACATCTCTTCATGTTGCCAAGACTGGGAATCGGTGTCCTTGAGGATTTTCAAATAGTTGCAGATGCAAGATGAATTTCCTGGGTAGCAGTTGGGATCTGGGACCTCAACATCTTCCCCCATAACAGAGATATTGTAGCTAGTTGAGCTGGATTTGTCCATATTACATCCCTCCCATCCAGGGCATAGCACAGAAGCGTTGCTTGAGCAGGGTCCGTAAGATTCTCTGGGACACTACACATCCTCTTCACGATAAAAGTTATCTTACTTATCTTTCCCATTTGGGGAAAAGGGGCAATTGGAAAGGTTTCTACAGCTTAGCTTTTTTACTTTCCCCTCTCACCATCTCATCTTTCTCCTCACCAAGAGTCTCTTCAAATCTGGAAATACCCACTTTGTTGCTTAAAAAAAATACTCAACAGAAAAAAAACAAAATGGTTCCAACTACATCTCCTGTAGTTCAGATATGAAGTATATGCTGGTCTATGGACCTAGTAAAGATTTTCATTTGATTTGCGATTAAATATAGCCAGCATAATATTTTGGACATACAGTTATTCTGTTGATTATCAACATTAGGTATGTACCCTTTTTTTGTCTTAAAGCTGGGGAGGTCATATCTTCTGTTCCAGCACTGTACTGGATAAACATTCTAGCAATTCAGCATCCCCAATTTGTTTGTCATCCTCCCTGTCTTAAAAAAATACCCCCCGCAATATTGTTGCTTTTCATAATGTAGTTTCTAATTTAGCTATCCCAATTTTACCAGCGTTCTGTAATTATGCCAAAATGAGATACAGAATAGATGTTTAAATAGCTATTTAGAGTATTTACATATAGCATTTAAATATATATTTATATAAAGAGAGATTTTAAAGAATCGCAAATGAATGCAGAAACAGAATTGAATTTACAGGCTAAAAACAAGTAGAGCATTTTTTTTTCCCCGTATCTATTTTCCATCCAGCAAAAAGAGGATAAATCCACAAGGCAAAATACATTCATTTCAACAGTTAACATTCAAGTTGCCCCAAACATCCAATATTTTTATCATATCGTTCAAAGGAAAGTTTGCAGCCAAGGGATAGATTTTATGCTTTGCATGCAGAAAATCATAAATTCCATCCTTAGCACCTATGAAAATTATCCTGCACAAACATTCAAAGACGTTATCTATCCAGCAATGTGTAACTCACAGTGGCCAAGTGGATTTGGGAGACTCATAAGCATAGACCAAGATATAACCCTCTTCCTATCAACTCTACATGATGGTATTTAAATTATGATGTCCAGGATTCAAGAGAAAGAATAGAGCATCAAGAGCCATGATAGTTTTCCTTTTCTCTTATATCCACTGCGAGAAGAATCCAGAGAAAGAAATATTTGGGGAAATATTAAAAAGGCAGAATATATTTCCCCAAAGGAATAATGGAGATGATCTTTAAAAAAAAAGACAGAAAGAAACCAGCCCCCAAAAATCAGCCCAGCCTCTAGGCAGAAGCCAGCTTTTAGAAATGCAAATTCAATAATCCTTTGAGAAAGTTTGGAGCCTTCCAGCTAGAAACTGAAGAAATTAGGAAGATAAAGACCCTTAAAATCTACACACCTCACCCAAACTCTAAGACAGGACATAATAGGATTAACCCACCAATACCAAATGGGCACACTCAGACTCAGGTCAAAGTACAAGACACAGGAAATACAAAGCCTCAAACAGGAAAAGGAAACAACCTCAAGAGCCCCAGAAGGTATAAAAGCCCACCACTCTGCTCCATGTGGTCAGTCTTTTCCAGAGCCATCTTTCTGTCTGGCTCTCCTCTTCAATAAACTACAACCTTCTTTCTAAAGCAGTCTCCATGCTTTTTTATTCCCGGCTTGGACTGGACCCTGATGAAGGTTTTTCTTTCAACACCACCTAGAGTTTCATACTTTGACTTAATTTGGACTGAGACTAGAAATGAAAGTATCATATTCACCCAGCCTACTCCAACCGTCGACAAACATGGCGCTTTCTGCTCAATCTGATATGTCTAAAGGTGGTATTTTATGAGTTTCTCAACCTACCTTGTTGTGATGGTGTGCTTCTTGGTATATGGTGTGATAACTTGGAAGAGCAATTCCATCGCTCCATTAATGCCCAACATAGTTCCGACTGCAACTGCAATGAATGGCAGAGGAAAAAAATAGACTCAGAACATGGAATTTGGGAAATGATTTTTGGAGGCACAATAGAAAGAGACTGCCTGCAATTTCCCACTTGCTTTTTTATTCTCTTTGAAATCTTCTGTAACAAGTCCCAGACTCTAGAAAGAGTGCAGAGAAGAGCAACAAAGTTGATCTGGGGACTGGAGACTAAGACATATATACTTCAATTTAGAAATTATATTTCTGATAATATAGTGCAGATGTCTCTTCCCAATGCTAAATCAATTCATCTTATTTGTATCTCCCTTCTGTTTAAAAATGGAATGAAATTCAAAACTCTTTCTGGGGTGAAAGGTAGGTAGAACTTTTGGCAGTAAATTCTTGGTAAACGTGAATTTCCTATGAGGCAGTGTGAATAGCATCTCTTTAATTGCTCCTTCTAAGATGCTCCTTATTTTATTTTTTTCAAAAGACAACTGGGCAAAGATGCCAGATTCTTGCCAATGTTAACTGTCACTCAATTCACCTTCTGTAAGTATAGACTACATCTTATTTTTAGGGGGAGCTGGGAGGATGACCAAAAGCACCGATAATAACAGCATCAATCAGCTGTCTGTTCAACTGTTGGTAGAGAGGACAGTAAGATCTTAGCACATTTCCTGAATAACAGGATTGCTATCCATGCGGCACACTGCACTTTCCTTGTGATTCTTCCCCACATTCTTTTCACTCAACATTAAATCTGTAGTAACCACCACCGCCTGTCCTGAGTAACTAGCCCCTCACTCTGCCTCTGCATTTCCAAATACTAGTTTCTTTTCCTCTGGCATGTAAGAGCAGACCCAAAGCAAAAAGCAGGCCACAAGGAAAGAGTGAATGTGAAAGCCATGGGGAATAAACACATCTAAATCGAGATGCCTCTCAACTGTCTTCTCTGTTACAGGCACCCTTTCAAACACTGCTTATCTCAAAGAGAATGACAGGGAAAGTTGGCTGCCTGCCCAGGAAGGCCCAGTGTGAGTGAAGACCACTGGGGTCTCTCATGCTGACACAGAGAACTTACAAGGCCAACCAGCCAGTAGCACTAAATCTTCAAGGGGAAGATCTAAAATGCTAAGCATGTCATATTGGGCCAAACCGCTGCTGATACAGTTAGAGGTCTCCACGAGGGAAGTGACAACGAGGTCAGAGAAGGTGAACCAAAATAAATAAATAAATAAAATTGAGAGCCGTTGGAAAAGACCAGAGATCCTCCAGCAGAAGTGTAGTGCAATATTCAGGGCTGACCCTGACTGGCTGCAGAGAGAAACGTCATGCATCAGAACAACAGAGTTGGAAGGGACCTTGGAGGTCTTCTAGTCCAACAACCTGCTCAAGGAGGAGACTCTATACCATGTCAGACAATTGGCTGTCCAACCTCTTCTTGAAAACTTCCTGTGATGAAGCACCTACAACCTCTGAAGGCAAATCGTTCCACTGGTTGTTCTCACCATCAGGATCTTTTTTCCTTAGTTCTAGGTTGATCTCTCTTTAATAAGCTTCCATCTGTTTACTACCTGTCCTGCCTATGGGTGCTCTGGAGAATAGTTTGACTCCCCCTTCTTTGTGGCAGTCCCTCAATTCACCCCTAGTACTTCTTTTCACTAGACTAGACATACCTAGTTCCTGTAACTGTTCGCAATTTAACCTCCAGGCCCCTAATCATCTTTGTTGTTCTTCTCTGCACTCTTTCTAGAGTCTCAACATCTTTTTTGTATTGTGGTGACCAAAAGCTGGATGTAGTATTCCAAGTGTGGTCTTATCAAGGCATTATAAAGCAATACTAACACTTCACATGATCTTGATTCTATCCCTCTATTCATGTAGCCTAGGATTGCAATGGCTTTTTGGCAGCTGCACCACACTGGAGAAAGAGGTGAAGGAAGCAATGTCCCTGCCAGGATACTCCTGTTGTCCACAAAGTTCCCTATCCATTTTTTTTAAATTAATCTAGCTTGAATGATGGGGACAACTCCAACCTTTTGTTGTATGGACCTTTTGGAACATGATCTTGACCAATATTTGATTGGAGTGCCCATGATAGGTTGTCAGCATTCCAAACAATCCCGGTACCCCATGAAAACTGACCACTGAATTTGGATGATCAGAATATGCTTTCTACCAAACTCTGAAGTGCAGTGACCAGAATGGAAGCAATCATCTACAGTACTCACCGTTGGAAGCATAAATCTGCAGAGCCCAGAGACAGTGGGTGAGATTCTCATGGTGGTTAAGATTTTTTCGTGCCAAGCTGAGGGTTACATCAATTGCCTCCAGACGTTGTGCTTTTAATCCAAACTTCTTATCTAGGGGAAAGGAAGAGGGAAAATAAGTATTAAGTAAGAGACCTTCTATTGATAATAGACATAATAGTTGTCTTGGTTATGGGGGAGGGGGGGAAATTGCTTTCTCTGAGATCTTCTAACTTCACATCTTATTCATCCTTTTACAGCTCCACCTGGAGTTTTTGTGTGCTTTGGTTCCCCTACTGACTTCAGTGATGCTAATTTGTGCGGTTTATCATTTCAGAGCGAAACGCTTCCTGCCAATGCATCCAAGCCCATGCGGTTTTGTTCCAGTTTTCTAAAAACCCAACGTATTATGCACACGGAAGATAGCCACCTTCTTGCCACATCATCTTTTGAAGGACCCAGCATGTCAGCGAGTTTGAAAGCCAGCCTGGCATTTCAACCCCATACATGTTTATTTAGGAATAAGCACCACTGAACTCGGTAGAACTTAGTTTTTGAATAGGGGTGAGTTTGATCAAGTTCAGAGGCCAGTTTTCCTAATCGGGAATAAACAGTGGGAAGGCAACTGCCACATCTTTCCGTTTTGATCTGAAGCCTCAACAAATCCTGTACACTGTTTGTTTATTTAATTTATTAAAAAAATTCCGTGCCGTCCATCTCCCCTAAAAAGGTGACTTTGGGCAGCTTATCAAATGATCGAAACAGGTGAAACATAATTAAAAGATTAAAATGAGCCAACGTTAAATTATTATTAAAAACTGCACTAAACCGCCTACAAAAGCCAAGAGACAGATGGGACAGAAATGAGATCTTCTACCCCATCAGCCACCTCCAGCGGTGGGCACCCTCCCCCAGGGCCCCAGGCCAACGGGAAAAGCCAGGCTTTGATATCCTTCCCAAATGCTGAAAGAGGCAGTTCTCATCTCTGGTGGAAGAAAGTTCCACAGGGATGGGACCATAGTAGTAAAGGCTCTTCGATGCTTATGAGATACTACGCTTATAAAACCACTGAGAGAGGCTGAAAAAGGCTGCTAAGGATCACGAAGGTGCATGAATGCATTTGTTCTAGAAAACCAACATGGGGATTAAAACATAAAAATAAAAAACTTGATTCGAGATCCCAAGCAGTGGGTTGGGGTGTTCCCCTTTGTCGTTTCCTGGATCGCCTTGCTTCCCTAATGATTTAGCGAACGGCAAAGAGGGAATTTCAGGAGTATATCTTTTTAGTTTGACTGACACTACGTTCCAGCTTTCTTTCATGCAACATTAGGCAGTTCCATTCAAAACATCACAGTGGGTGGGACTCTTTCTAGTAATCTACTACATAAGGACCGTGTCGTTCGATGGCTCGGTAAGTGATTTTGTCACTTTGTTTTGTCCGTAGTAAACTAGCCTTTATACCTGGGGAATGTCATACACAGTGGGTAACTGACATCTCTTCACAATGTTAGGCATAAAGCAGTGGTGGGATTCAAATAGGTGAACAGCCAGTTCTCTGGGTGGATGCTGCTTCCAGAAGTCCATTCTGGACTTGGGCAACCAAAAATTAGCTACCGGTTCTGCCAAACTGGTGCGAACTGGCTGAATGCCAACACTGGCATAAAGGCATAGCTCGCGTTGTAGCAGTAGAGTACTAATCCATTAAAAAGAGGCTCAGTGGCTACATCTGGGGACTGGGGAGAGAGGGACCTCTTTGCAGATAAATCAGGTGAAACAATTCTAGCCCATCTCTTGTCACCTCAAGGTTGGTCTATTACAGGGGTCCTCAAACTTGTCCACTTTAAGACTTGTGGACTTGAACTCCTGTGCGGGGAGACTAGTCCAGGGGTAGGCAATCTTGGCTCTTTTATGACTTGTGGACTTCAACTCCCAGAATTCCTCAGCCAGGCATGCTGGCTGAGGAATTCTGGGAGTTGAAGTCCACAAGTCATAAAAGGGCCAAGTGTGAAGACCCCTGTTTTATAGCCACCAGCTTCTGGGCTGGCTAGGAAGAGGTCTTAAAGAGAGAGGGCACTAGTAGTCCAGGTGCCTACCTTTTCACAGCCAGGCTACTTCCAGATGCAATTCAAAGTATTGGTTTGGAAGCTTTAACGTCCTACTGTACATGGCTAGATGATTTGGAGACCACCTGCTACAATTGGAGACTGTCCATCCAGTAAGAGCTGGGAAGGTTTGTTAGATGTCCTTTCTCCAAGGGAATGAAAGAATCAAGCCTTTTCAAAGATAACTGCCCTCCGGCGACTCAGTTGGCCCCCTGATAGCCAGAGTACTTCACCGTTGTTGATCCACGAAGACATGGCTCTTCAAGAAAGCATTTATGGACAATGTGGACTGATCTACCTCTGCTGGATGGCACAGTTGGGTATGCTTGTAATTTAGATGATGATGATTAATGTTATTGTGGCTTGATGAAAGCCACTCTGAATCACTTGGGATTGAACAGCTCTCGTCAATAATTACCTTTACAGCCAATTCTGACCAGCAAGCGCAAGAGAGGTAACAAGATGTCGTAGTCCGGTATTGAAGTCTGCGCTGCATTCACCAAGGCCTGCAAAAGGGCTTCGCTGCCCCCTTTGCTAATGGTGTACTGGACTCTCCTGTTTGTCCCTGGGGAAAGGAAAGGACAGTTGTAAACGTTATTCCAGATACTCGGTATGTTGATTCTAATGAACTCAGGTTTACTTTGCACATTGATATATGGCAGGGGTCTTCAAACTTGGCCCTTTTATGACTTGTGGACTTCAACTCCCAGAATTCCTTAGCCAGCGTGCCTGGCTGAGGAATTCTGGGAGTTGAAGTCCACAAGTCATAAAAGGGGCCATGTTTGAAGACCCCTGCTTTAACCACTACACCAAAAACCTCCAAAGCTTAGATCATTCCAAAAGCCAAGGAAAGCGATCCAGTATTCTGCCAACCTAGGGGAAGGACCTGTTTCAGTACATGTAGGGTTGGGGGCTGTGATCAGAGTGGAAAAAGTAACTGGGTAAATAACTCCCTTTGCACAATTTTCCTTCATGCTCTAAACTGCATTCGGCACCCTCGACAATTCTTTTCCAGCAGCTGCTTTTCTTTTACAAAGCAAGCATCTAATTCAGATGTCCCCCTGCATCCATTTTAATTTGTGGATTAGACAAAACTTACAAAGGATAAAATTTCCTCTGTAAAATTAAATATGATAAATATGATAAAATAAAAACCGATAATCTTCTGAAGATAGATGGAGGGAGGGAGTAGGAGAGAGAGAAAGAGATTAAATAGGATGAAAATCCCTATCTATCTGTCTATCTATCTATCTATCTATCTATCTATCTATCTATCTATCTATCTATCTATCTATCTATCTATCTATCTATCTATCTATCTATCTATCTATCGAAACTAACCAAAGAGAGAAGCAACCTAGAACTAAGGAGAAATTTTCTGGCAGTCAGAACAATTAATCAGTGGAACAACCTGCCTCCAGAAGCGATGAATGCTCCAACACTGGAAGTTTTCAAGAAGAGACTGGACAGCCATTTGTCCGAAATGGTATAGGGTTTCCTGCCTGAGCAGGGGGTTGGACTAGATGGCTTCCAAGGTCCCTTCCAACTCTATTATTATTATTATTATTATTATTATTATTATTATTGTTGTTGTTGTTGTTGTTGTTGTTGTTGCTGCTGCTGCTGCTGCTGCTGCTGTTTATTGTTTTGTTGTTATTTTTGTTATTATTATTACTATTACTATTATCTCTATTTAATGTAAATAACCCATTTCATATCACAATATAAAAAGTGAGGGTAGAAAACTACTTATACATAGCCTATCATCCAATTGTATTTCTAGAGATTGGTACATTTTGGATGTACTTTCTCATATAATATTTCTCATCTTAAATCCTACAATAGAATATTCAGTTTTCCACTTACCAACAGAAAGAAGATTTGTGAGAATACTCAGGGTATTCAGAATCACGTCTTTGTCGTGGGAACTCTGCAATGTAAACACAAACCTTCATAAACCTTATTTTGCTTTTACAATATATTGTATTCTTTTATAAAAAAAAAAAAAAAGGAATCTCACTCGTTAAAATGCTTTAGGCAATCTAGGGGTGAGATGGGCTTGACAGAAGCTCCAGAGAGAATAGACCAGTTGGATGTGTCTGGGTAAACACAGGCTGCCTCAGCTTCCATTGTTCAAACATATGATCATGGTGCAATTAGGGATCCTTGTTGCTTTAACATTTCAAAGCTGTTAGAGCAGGAGATCAAAGGTACAAAAACAAAAACACAACCCCAGGCACGTTTAAGAGGAATTTAAGACAAATGGATTTATGATAGCATAAGCTTTCAAGAAACGGAGTCTACTTGCTGGAGAAATGAGTTGTTTTAAGTTAATAGATACAAACAAATGAGCTAAAAGGGGAATACGCGGTAAGACAATGCAAATAATTGCATGAAGCATAGGTAAAATTATTACTTTGAATATACACCAAAGACCCTAGCGCTGGAGAATTAATAGTACTGATAAGAAAATTTTACAAACAACAATGACTAATGCATGCTAACAATGTGATTTGTTTGGATTTGACTTATCTTGTCATATGAAACTAGCTATAGTGGTTTGTATCATTCAGCAAACAGTCCAGAAAACTAAACAGTGTTGTACCTGTATGTATTTGGATGGGGATCTTTTTCATGTATATATCCCACCTTTATTATTTTTACAAATAACTCAAGGCAGCGAACATATCCAGCACACCTTTATCCTCCTATTTTCCTGTGAGGTAGAGTTGGGCTGAAAGACTGGCTCAAAATCACCAAGCCAACATTCACGGCTAAGGTGAGACTCGGTATCTCCTGGTGATTGGCAGAAAGTTACCCCTTCGGCTTTTGTGCCTAAGGCAGGATTGAACTTGCAGTCTCCTGTCTCAAGGCAACAGGACTATTTTTTTTTCCTTGAGGAAGAAGTTGCCTTTTGAAGAAAAAAGCACCTTTGACACAACTATACTCTGGATGACTGACAAGCTCCACAGTCACAGTCTCCTAATTTCTAGCCTGGTGCCTTAACCACCACACCAAACTGGATCTGGAAAGATCAAAGCTGTAAGATGACACAGACTACATCAAATCACTCCTGAATTATGTCAAAAAAAAACAAAAAACCTCTGCATGAATGAAGTCAAATTTGACTTGAAACTGACTTTATTTTCTGCCTTCATTTACAGCTTAGCCTTAGCATGTAGTATAAACCTAACCAATTTTGGCTTGTTTAGTAAAACATGATAAATCACAGCATAGCACAATGTGTGAATCAGCAAATATGAGGGGGGGGAGACAGTAGAGTCTCAGAATTAACTTTGATGTTCCCCAAGAAAGATCTCAGATTAAGCATCTATTTATAATTAACAGAAGTGCTACTTTGCATGCCATCCTGGGACTTCCAAATTAACTCTCCCAAGGCCGGTGTTAAAGGCTAGGTGAAAAGTTGAACAGAGCTTACATAAGGCCAGTTTGAAAGGCGTATCTGCCCATTTCTCTTGAGTAACATGCTTGAGCCTTGATAAACTAATCAGCAGCGCTGGAAAAAAAAATAACCTTGTGTCGCCACGGTTTTTGTTAACAGCCTGGCAACAGACAAACCGATTGGCACAAATAAACAACTCTGCAAGGGGACTATAAATCAATTAAAATGTTGCTGCTGACAACTAACCATGGCATCCATCTACCCAGAGAGAAACAGGTTACATTACACCAGTACTCCTAGACATACAGACTAATCTGCCCTCTGATTGCTTTGGGCAATTCATCATCAAAGGCCTCATTCCGATCAACCTGAATCTTGGAAGAAAGAACATTTCAACTCCCCGATAATCCCCAAATAACAATATCTGCTCTTGAAGTCTCAAACCACCCCAGAACTTTCCTTAAGCTGCTCATCTTCTAAATTTGTGAATTTTAGCCCCCAGAAAGCCTATATCTGAGAATGCTAGAGTTCAAATCTAGACATCTGGACTATACCAAGGCTGAGGACAGCTTTTTTAGATGTAGTCTTAGAGACCAGTTTAAAGAATCTGAGGAAGAGAAAACTCAATCATCCTGTCAACTCTCCATGAACACTCAGCCTCAAGAAATGTTTCCATTTCTGCTGCATTTTACAGTGGCTGGTTTCATTAAAGCATGACATTGAAAAATCTTTTGTGACTTGGTTCATGCTAAGCCGTAAACCATGGATTACAAACAATGACTGGGTTCATATCTCATTCACAGCCAAATCCAAAAACATACTAATCCTGTAGCTCAGCTTCCTAATTTTCTCCTTGATGGGTACTCTTAAAGCAGCGGTTCTCAACCTATGGATCGGGACCCCATTTGGGGTCGATCGACCATTTCACGGGGGTCGCCAAGCAAGGTTGTTTGCCATTTTTTTCCCCCTTTTCCGGTGGGTGCCTTACCTCCCTTGAGCTGGGCCAGCTGGTGGTCAGCCTGCTCCGTCTCTGCCGCTTGCCAGCTACGCCTCGGCCGGTGCAGGGGGCGGAACCACGCATACGCGGTGCTCCCGGGCAGGGAAAGTCCTTGACTTACGACCGGTTTAGTCCTTGACTTACGACCGGTTGGGGTCGCGGCATTAAAAAGGTTGAGAACCACTGTCTTAAAGTCAAAGAAACTTGAAGCTAAGAGTCTTTGGCCCAACCCACTGCTGAGTAGAAAAATCCAAATTAAAACATTCCTAATTGATGGCATTTTCTTAAAAACATCCATTGACGGATGCTCACTACCCTCTCTGGATAATAGTTGCACTGGCAAATAGCTTTTTAATTACTGGGTAATTTTCCTTAACATTCAACCAGGATCTCCCTTCCTCTAACAGAAGCCTTTGCATGCTTGTCGCTTTCTAGATGATTCCCCCTTAGATACTTGAAAAATACCATCATATCAATCACTGTATGTAAGGCTAAATCAATATCTCCTCTTAAGACTTAGTTTCCAAACCCTTCATTATTTCCAGCTCCTGTTCCTCACGCCCAGCTTGACGTTCCTGTTAGTTTAACCACCGCAGGTTTCAAAACAATGTCAGAAATTCAATACTTGAACCGGACCAGGTTTATGGTAAAATAAAAAGGGGGGCATACAAGATGCTTGATTGTTGAAAAGGCAACACATAATTTCAACCTTTTATCAAGAGGTGGAGTCACTGGGAGGGACAAAGTGCAGAATACACGGTTTCTAAGCAAGCATTTGAAATTACACCTTCTTTCAACCCTTCTACATCATTGTCTTTGCCAATGTCACTGTTCTGATATGACTGACCCAGCAGCTTGTTCCAGCAGACTCAAATGTGTGTAGCAGACTGGAACATCCCAGATGTCAAGACAGCTTTATTAGCACTAGATATAAAGTCACAAAAGAGTCAAACAGCAAATATTAGGCAGAACTGTGGAGTCAGCATCAAGGACAGGAAATTGTTGTTACAAGAGAAAGTTAGCCAGCTTCAATGACATCCTATACAATACATCCACTCCTTGGTAAGTAAGAGAGGGAGGGAGGGAGGGAGAGAAGGAAGGAAGGAAGGAAGGAAGGAAGGAAGGAAGGAAGGAAGGAAGGAAGGAAGGAAGGAAGGAAGGAAGGAAGGAAGGAAGGAAGGAAGGTGGGTGGTGGTCTTGAAAAGCTAAGCAGTCAGATTAAGATGGACTAAGAACCTATACCATTTCTTCTCTGAAATGGTATAGGGTCTCCTGCTTGGGGGGAGTTGGACTAGAAGACCTCCAAGGTCCCTTCCAGCTCTATTCTGATTCTTCTTCTTCTTAAGAAGATTGTTTTGGATAAACAATCCTTGGAAAATCCCAGGGCTCTAGCCTAGAATGGGATGTACACATCCCCACTTACTTAAAAAAAATGAATCACAAAAACTGCAATGGTAACTGCAATCAAACCTATACTGTTGCCATAGATAGATAAACAAACAAATAAATAAATAAATAAATCTCAACACCAGTTGTGATAGTAAAATGTTACTATTATAAGAAAAAAATGCCACTGGCAGAAAGCTCAATAAAAATTAAAAAGCTCAGGTTTTTTTTCTTTGTTTTCAATTCATCAAGATAAAATTATTCCCTTTGCAGCCCTTCCATAATGTTTCAGCTAATTTACAAATCCATAATGCGTGAATATATATCTTCTTTCTTCATTATGACATTTCCAAGAATTAGCATTCTTTAAACCATATTATTTTACATAATTCTTACGGTATTACATAGTAGCAAAACATTGTTTTAAAACAGTTTGCCTGAAGATTAGCACATCCTGAATCGTTATTTCTCTATAACCGTATTGTCTCATTATTAAAGATGTAATTAATGATGCTAAGTCTTGCTCCTCTCTAATCACGTTGTTTGTACTCCTCATAATACTAGTCATATTTTATGGGGTTTTGATAACAGATGTTTCTCATCGCCCATTAATACATAAACTTTCAAAAGAACATTCTCAAAGTAATTAAAATTGGATACTGACAATAACAGAACACATTTCTGATGTGTAGTTTTCTACCAGCCATCCAAACCAGTTTAAATCAACTACAGCTATGTATATTTGAACCTTTCCAAACTCCCTGATCTAACAATCACATCAAAAAGCGGTATCACAAACCCGGACGGGACAACTCGCCCTTGACCAACTCATGGTGGTCAATTCATCACTGCCAATTGGCCACAGGACAACTTGCGATGGCCAATTCGCCGTGGGATAACTCACCACGGAACAATTCAATTTAATTATTATTTAAAAATAATTCTAAAAATGTTCTCATTTTTGTCATGCACATTTCATTTTTGTCCATCCTTTGGCGTCCTTTCTTTAATGACTACATTCCACCATTTCTTCGATGTTACTGTAACTCTTGATCCGTGGCAAATTTCCCATGGCAAGTTGGCCGTGGATGAGTTGACTGTAATGATGTTGCCACCACTGAAGTTCTCAACCAACCAATTCCTT